CCTTGCGCGGGACGAAAGCACGAGCGTGACAATTACAGCATCGGCCGCTGCACGCGGATCCAAACACCCTCTCCCAGAAGCGGCCCCCCGCCCGCCTCACCGCCGCCGCCGACGCCGCCCCACGCGACCACCGCGGCCGCCCCCGCGGCCACTGGGTGCCGCCCCCACTCCGGCGGCGCCCCCGGCGGCGCGTAGCGCGCCGGCGCCGGCGCGGCGACCACCATCACGGTGGCGCCCCTCGACGCCAGAAACCTAACAGTGGCCCCGAAACGGCCGTCCCCCGACGCGACCACGACCGCCGCGTCTCCCGGCCACCCGTCCACCCCCAAACCCCCGCCCCCTGCGCCCGGCGGCGCCGCGCCTCCCTGGGGCGTCGCCCGCTCGGCTGCCGGCGCACGGGGCGGCGCGCGCTGACTCAGCGTTTGGTGGAAGAGGCAGGCGTGGGAGGCGAGAAGAAGGTCGGCCGTGTCTCTGCCAGCTGGCGCCGCCACCAGGCCGAAGCCCGCCGCCCCGAGCCGCCGAGCAGCAGCTGCCGCCATGGGTGGGCGGGTGGCGAACGCAGGGGGTCGGTGCAGAGCGAGCGGCGGATCAAAGGGAGACCAGCGTGCGGCGTGTGGGACGTGCCGCAAAGAGCGGTGTGCATCAACACCAGTAAACTCCCAAGGCACTTTCAATACGTCACAGCGCCCGCGGGTTTGGCGGGCGAGCAAAGCCCGGGCGCGGCTCGCATGCGCAGAAACGGGCCGGCCAGCGGCCGGCCCCCGCAGGGCACAGCTCCCCCTTGCCGTCCGGCCTCGCGGCCCGGCGGCCGGGGCTGCAGGTTTGGAAGCGCGGCGCGGCACCCACCAGGGCCGACGATCTCGAGCGTCCGGCTGTTGCCGAAGAGTTTGAACTGCCGGACGTCGCCGCCAGCTTGGGCCAGGCGGTCCTGTTGTTGAATGTTTTTGAAGTGCAATGCAGAGGGCAGAGGGCAGAGGGTGTACAGCTCAATCGGCGAGAGCGGAGCTCGCGTCGCCGTACCGTCGGCAGGAGAAGGCGAGGGGGCGCCCAGAGCTTGGGGGTGTAGCGGGGCGCGGTCTCGTGCGCGCTTGGTCGCGCCCCGTCCTGGCCGGCTGCGGCCTGCGGTTGGCGCCGCCCCCGGACCCCACTGCGCGCCAGGCGACGGCTCGCCCTGCCCCGCGCCGAAGCCCCGGGTCACTGCATGCCAAGCAGCGTGAGTGACGTCACCCGGGTGCGGCCTCACCCGCAGGCCACCTAGGACACCCAGCAGCTGCTGACGTGGCGGCATCATGTTATCCAGGTCCCAGAAAACGCCCACCGGGGACCCCGACAGGTCCAGGCACTCCCAGCCCCGCAGCTCAAAGGCGGGCAGCGGCGACGAAGCCCTGGCAGGGCGCGGCGCCGCGCCCGCGCGGCCGCCGCGGCGGCGGGCGGCGCCAGCGGCGGTGCGACGCGGCAGCTGCGGATGCGCCGCGCGCCGCTGGCAGGCCATCGCTGAGCGGGTGCTGGGCTACTGGGCCGTCACATGGTTCAACCGTGTGCAGTGGAAGCTGTATTCGGGGGCTGCACACCCGCCGTGGCCCTGTGTGTGTGCTTCCTCGGCCGGTTTGCAACCGGTTGTGCAGAGGACAGGGCAGATGCCACAAGCCTTCGTTGCGGTTGGATTGTGGATCAGCCTATGCACGTGTCATGATCATGACAATATATATTGTAGAACAGGTCGCTGTGCTGAAAAGAAAGACGCCGCGGGTCGCGGCCAAAGTTCTGTGTGTGGGACACGTACGTATATATGATACAACGCTCGCATGATATCACAAGGCTCTGAGCTTTGCGAACAATTTCAATGGCTGGATCTGTGCCCTGTTGCCGGCAGGTTGCCGGCACTGGGCACTCCATATAACCGCACCACCACCAACGCCCACAAGATGCCCGTCCAGCTGGGCCTGGCCCTGCATCCTGCTGCCCACTACTCCTCCCAATGCATGGCCCTTGCCATGCTGCACGAGTGCGCTGCCTCCTGGTGGGACGCCTACCCCTTCGCTGCACCCATCACAGCCGCTGGCAGCTGCTAGCTGACAGCAGCAGCAGCTTGGATGCGCGTGCGCGTGTGTGCGCAACCATGCTGACGTGTTTATGGATGCATACTGCGATACTGGTGCTGGAGGTGCCAGTGGGCTGCACATGGTGCGACTGGGCTGAAAAGGGTGCCAGTTTTTACTAATGTCTATGAAGTCAGGCTGCTTGGCGGTCACATTCTTGAAATATAAAGGCAACAGAAACGACAATTGACAGACTATGACCATGGCAGAGGCATGCTTAGCACTCCTGGCGCAGTTTTTGATGTGTTTTGTCGCATCACGCATGAGTTTGCGGGCTGCTGACGGCCTCCGCCAGGCGCGGTCACGGCCGACCGAAACGGCGAGGCGAAGGGGTGCTGTTGCGTTGCAAACAGGACACTGTACGCAGGCCAGCCCAAGAGCACGGCGCAGGGGTCCGATCAGCCCACCCAGATTCAGGCGTCTTGCGGCCCGCAGTTGATGGCCCGCTTCTTCCGATGGTGCAGCGCGTAAGCGGTGTCGCAGCCCGCCACCGACAGCACGCCCCCTAGCTCTATCCTCTTGAAGGTGCGCGGCCCATTGGCGCCGGGCCCGTGCGTGACAACCACCGGGTGGAGGTTGCGCCACCACGTAGGCGTCGCAAGGCCGGGTGACTCCTCGACTTCTATCCACAGCTTGTAGGGGCAGTCGTCGTGGATCGGCCGCCACGCCTCAAGGGCCGGCGTGGGCGTGAGGTCGGCGAAGGTGTGGGGGAAGGGGCCGCCGAGCACCGAGTCCAGGACGAAGAACAGGTTGACTGCACGGCAGGCGGACAGGCGGCGCACCGCGGGCGGGGTCGTCGCAAGCGTTCTAAGGGCCAGGCGCGGGCGTGAAGCAGTGGGCTCGCTGGGCAATTCGAGACCAGGACGCCAGCACGCGAGTGCCGCGCCAGCTCCGCCAGAGGCCGCGCCCACCGCGGCGCACAGTCAGCGCGGCAGCGCCCGCCCCGTCCGCCGCCACCCGCAATGCGCGCAGCGCGCTGCTCCCGGCTTGCCGTTGTGAGCATGCATGCTGCCAGAACGGCCTTGATGTGAAACCCGTACAGCCTGGCGCGGGGCACGCACACTCTCAGCTGCCCCCACCCCCTTCGCCCCCTCGGGGCACGCGGTGCGCGCACCTCCAGATCGGTCAAACGCGACCAGCGAGTAGTCAAACGCGCGCATTATGCGCTCCAGCGCCAGCGCGGACGCGCCGAACCAGCAGCCGTACACGTTTGAGGAGGGGACGTCCATGACCATGTAGGCCTGCTTCGGGTGCAGGTTCCTGCGCGGGCGCCGACACGTCGAGCGTTCTCTGTTTGGCGTAAGAACGTGGAAACGCACATGCATGCAAGTGTGCAGGCGCACGTACACACACACACACACACACACACACACACACACACACAAACACGCACGTGCACACGCACACGTACACGCACATGCGCACGTACACAACGCATACACACACAACACACACACACACACACACGCAAGTGCACGCACATTCGCAGGGACGCACTCACGCATACGCACGCACCCACGCACTCACGGAAACAGGCAGCCAGATGTGCCGCGTGGCAACTGCGACACCAAAAGGAATCAACAGTGGCCACACCCACCTGTTATACTCAACAGTGACAGACCTCGGCCTGTAGCCGCCCGCGAGAATAGATCTGAGCACCCACGCAGTGTTCATATCAATATCGGCTGCAGATGCGGCGTGGATCGTGACCGTCGGAGGGAAGGCGGAAGGTTGGGCCTGGCGTGTACACGCTGCTTGCCCCCCAAGCGCAGGCCCAAAGCATCTTGTGCAGATCTGGAGTTTAGTCACCGTACGCGAAAGCGGGCTGCTTCGCTGGGCGCACTCCGATCTAGCACCCGGCACACCAATCCATTTTGCAGATCGAAACTGGGCAGTGTGATGAAGACAAGTGCAGGGCAGTACGGTATCGCAGCAGGCGAGGGGGCGTGCCAGGCCCACCTGTCAAGTGGTCAAATGAAGGGAATGGGACAGAGTGCCTGCACGGCAGTTGGCAGAGGGTGTCATTGAGTATGCGGCAACGACGCTTGCGGAGACCAAAGCCCCGCCGGCGTCGGTTTGCGGCTTGCGCCCATCGTGCCGCCGTGCGCACGGCGGCGTGCACAACGCACGCGCGCGACGAGCGGGCGTAATACACTAGGGAGGAACCGCCGGCAAATCCCACTTTTCAAACAGTTTGACGATGTTGTCTGATCGCATGTACTCCTTATGCAGGTTGATGTCAGGGTTGGTGTGGGTGCCGTCCATCAAGAGACCGCTGGCGCGATGGTGTGTGTGTGTGTGGGGGGGGGCGGGCAGCGACGTCAGAGCGCGCGGGAGCGCTGCTTTGACGCGAACGGGTGCGCAGCCACGCGCCCCTTGAGTCAGTCTGCTCCTGACACGGCGCCCCCCCTCCCCCCGAACCGCTCCAGCTGCCGTGGGGCGCCCAACGCTGCGCGTTTGGGCCCCACCTCCAGCCCTTTTCCCGGAGGTACTTTGTGGTGCACTCTTTGCAGGTCTCGGTGCCCTGGAAAGAGAGGAATTGATTGGAACAACACAGAGCAAGCCAGGCGTCTGTTTGCATACCGCGCCGCATGGGCGTTGAGAAAACGGGGACTGCATGCTTTGGGGCTCGGCGTGTTCCGAGCTGCATGCAGTTGTTGCTGCATGCAAGTGCAGTCCAGCCGCATGCACGTTGCACACTCACAAACTCCACATAGTACTTGGTGGTCGTGTTGATGCAATCGAATATGAACTCTATGATTCCGTCCTCGCCAAATTGGCTGCATGTTCCAGGGCCACGGCGAGCGCGCGGCGGGGTTCGTGAGGGGTTTGCGCGGAAGGGCAGCAGTGCCGTTGCGTGCCGCTGCACGCATGTTCCTGGCCCTGCGTTGTTCTCAGTCTGCTTCCCTTGTGCTGGGTGAAAGAAAATCGGGATTGTCCTGCGCACCTGTAAACTTTCCTGTCCTTCTCCTCTTTTTGGAACCCCTTGGCCTGCAGTGGAGACACAAATTTCGAGAACCGGCAGCCTAGCCCCTGCACCTTATCACCAACTGGCAGCGGCACAGCTCGGTTCTTCAGTAGGCCGCTGGGCTCACCAGGCACCTCCCAGCTTTGCTCCACTGCTGCAGATCCTTGCCTTCGACCCAGTTGTACAGCTCCATGTTTGTGCCAGGGGCCGCGGGTGCAGCGAGCGCATCGCGCGCAGCGAGCGCCGTCAACACCGCCGCAACCGCGCAAACGAGCCGGGGTGCGTCCATGCGAGGCATGATCAGATCTAGTTCTCTATTTATGCTGTCACCCGCCCTGAGCGGGCGCTCCACTTGTGCCGCAGTGGCCCCACGATCGTGACCGATGCACCTCAACACATGTAGCACGATGTATCCGACAAAATAGTAGCAGAAAAACTGGTCTCGTTCTGAGCTGTCGTGGCGCATGTGGTGGTCACTCACAGATCAGGAGGTTGGCTTTAGTCACAGGCCAGCCACCTCAGGTGGGTGTTGATCGTGCCCTCGCCAGTGGGTCCTTGGAATTTGTCCGGTGTTGAGTTCATTTGATTACTCAAATTCTTCAAAACAATTTCTGGTATCTGACAGGCACCGCCGCTGACGAATTCCCGCTCCCATTGTCAATGTCAAACTATGGTCTTTTCAGTGTTGGTTGGCGATGTGAATGTATGGCATGGCGCTTGCAATATGTAATTTTTTGGGGGTATTATAAAGGTAAAGCTCTCATGCACATATGCTGAGTCATGTCATGCCAGCACAATATGCAGCCGTCGAGCTGGTTGCTGCCAGCCAGCAGCACGAGCAGCACCCTGCACACAGCTGGACGTGCGCATGGCCTGTCTCAACAGCTGTATGGCACATATGCGAAGCACTTCGGCCACATTCATGAAGCATATATCTGCCTGGTTGTTGCAATTATTTTGCAATTGGTTATCGATTTTGGACCATCCCACTCCAGCATGTGCAGGAGCAGCAGGTCGCAGAAAACGGCGCCCCAAGCAGCATGCACATGCGCGCATGTAATTCAGCAAGGTTGTGCTGGTGGGATCCAGTGTGTACAATGCATGCATGTGGAGTGCGTCACAGCACCCCAATTCCTAGGTAGCAAGCCGCAAGGGTCTCACCCTCAAGAAAGCCAACGCACGCCAGGCCTAAAATCAACAACCCAGAGGCCGCTCATGGCCAACCCTCCCCATTCGTCGCTCCAACCACCCCCAAATCCTCGCCACGCCCGCCCAAGCCTCATCACCAGCGACGCCCCGCCGTGGCCGGGCCCGCCGTCGCGGCACCCTCACGCGCCCGCCGCCGGCGGCGGCGGCGGCAGGGCAGCGGCCCTCTTTTCAACGTGCACCCAGAGGCCGCCCTTTATGGGCAGGCTCACGCTAAGGTCGTACTGCATGGCGCGGCCCTCTGCAGGCCGCAGCCGGAAGCGGCGCAGCAGCAGGACCTGCCGGCGCGGGCAGGATGCGCACGGGTCGGGGCGCGTTGTCAGTTATCATGTAGTCCGTATGGCTATCAGGAAGGTCTTTGGGTCAGCCAGAGTCGGTGTCGATCGGCGGCTCGGCTCTCGTGAGTCATTTCGAGTCATACCCGCCTGCACGCGCCGCGCGCCCTCTCCCCCAGCCCCGCC